ATTCACAAAGACTTACCAAGTCGTTTTATATAATTTTCTTGATATCAAATGTACCCGGACAAATTCCCAAATGATATGCTAATATGTTCTCCTTTTCTACTTTCCTGTTCTCAGTCCTTCAAAGAGACGACTAAGACAGGCGGAAAAAATGACCCCAAACTAGTCCGTAATATATGCATTCTCGCACATGTTGATCACGGAAAGACCACTCTTGCTGACCATCTAATCGCCTCTTATGGTGGGGGTGTCCTTCACCCAAAGCAAGCGGGCAAACTCAGATTCATGGACTACTTGGACGAAGAACAGAGGCGTGCTATCACCATGAAGAGCTCATCCATTGCTCTCCAGTTCAGAGACTATTTCATCAATTTAATAGATTCCCCGGGCCACATGGATTTCTGCAGTGAGGTCTCAACTGCTGCCCGGTTGAGTGATGGTGCGTTGGTGTTGGTGGATGCTGTTGAGGGTGTTCATATTCAGACGCATGCCGTGTTGCGCCAGGCCTGGATCGAGAAACTAACCCCGTGTTTGGTTCTGAATAAGGTCGACCGGCTGATATGTGAGTTGAGATTGAGTCCCATGGAAGCCTATAACAGGTTGCTGAGAATCGTCCATGAGGTCAACGGAATAGTTAGTACATTTAAGTCCGAGAAATACTTGTCTGATGTGGATTCCTTGCTTTCGGTTGCCCCATCAGGTGATGAGGTGGATTACGAGTCTGTCGAGGATGATGAGGAGGATGCTTTTCAACCACAAAAAGGAAATGTGGTCTTCGTTTGTGCTCTGGATGGGTGGGGATTCAGTGTTCACGATTTTGCTGAGTTTTATGCTACTAAGTATGGGCAGAGCTTGGACGTTTTACAGAAGTCATTATGGGGACCTTGGTACTACAACGCGAAGACTAAGAAGATTGTGAGGAAGAAAGGTATAAGCAGCACAGCAAATGCTAAGCCCATGTTTGTGGAGCGTATTCTGGAGCCCCTGTGGTATGTTTATCAGGTTGTTCTGGAACCCAATGCTGATAGGGGAATTCTTGACAAGGTTATCAAGAATTTTCATCTATCCATACCTTCACATGAGCTTCAGAATAAAGACCCTAAGGCCGCGCTTCAAGCAGTTATGAGCCGTTGGCTCCCGTTATCTGATACAATCTTGTCCATGGTCATCAAGTGTATGCCCGACCCTGCTGCAGCACAGTCTTTCCGAATATCTAGATTGCTTCCCAGAAGAGAGAGTATCAATAATGGTGGTGATCCTGATGATGTGCTTCGTGAGGCAGAACTGGTAAGAAAATCTGTCGAGGCTTGCGAATCGGGTCCCGGCGCCCCATGTGTTGCGTTCGTCTCTAAAATGTTTGCGGTCCCCATTAAGATGCTTCCGCGTGAGGAGATTGTGAACAACTACTCTACGGAAGATGGGAATTCGGAAGAGTGCTTCCTTGCATTCGCGAGGGTCTTCAGTGGGACTCTCTTTGCAGGGCAGAGGGTTTTCGTGCTTTCAGCTCTGTATGATCCGCTCAAGGCGGATGAATCCAAGCAGAAGCATGTCCAGGAAGTTGTTGTGCAGTCATTGTATCTAATGATGGGTCAGGGTTTAAAACCGGTTGCCTCTGTAAGTGCTGGGAATATTGTCGCCATACGGGGGCTCGGGCAGCACATACTGAAGACTGCTACACTTTCTTCAACGATAAATAGTTGGCCTTTTTCGAGCATGGTTTTTCAAGTTTCCCCGACACTTAAGGTCGCGATCGAGCCGTCAGATCCTGCTGATATGGGCGCACTCATGAATGGCTTACGTCTGTTGAACCGTGCAGACCCTTTTGTCGAGGTCTCTCTTTCTTCTACAGGGGAGCATGTTCTGGCTGCTGCGGGTGAAGTTCATTTAGAGAGATGCGTGAAAGATTTAAAGGAGAGGTTTGCGAAGGTGAGCCTTGAAGTCTCGCCTCCGCTCGTCTCCTATAAAGAGACGATTGAGGGCGAGATGATGACTAGTCATCTTTTGGAGAATATGAAATTATTTAACAGCGGAAGCTCCGAATGCGTGGAGAAAACAACACCGAACGGCAGGTGTGTGGTCCGTGTGCAGGTCGCGAAACTTCCAGTGGCTCTTGCTAAGCTGCTGGACGAGAGTTCTGAACTGCTGGGAGATATAATTGGTGGCAAATCTAAACAGGCTCTAAAAAGCCTGGAAACCTCTAGGGGCACCATAGTGGAAGACGAGAATCCAATAGAGGCACTCAGGAAAAGGATGATGGATGCTGCAGAGAGTGACTACCTTTCCACCGAGAACACTGAGGCGGAGAGGGATCATCGCATTGAAAAATACCAGAAATTTTGGAAAAATACTTTCAAGAGAATTTGGGCATTGGGCCCTAAGCAGGTGGGTCCCAACATTCTCTTCACTCCAGACACAAAAAGGAGCCCGGAGGGTAATTCAGTTCTTCTGAAGGGCTTCCCTTACGTTTCCGATAAATTAGGTTTTCTAGACGCCGATGAATCACCATCTTCGTCATCACTATCATCTTCAGCGACAGATGATGAAATGTTGTTAAGAGAAGCCGAGAGTTTGGAGAGCTCTGTTTTGTCCGGATTCCAGCTTGCCACCTCATCTGGTCCGTTATGCGACGAGCCCATGTGGGGTTTAGCCTTTTTCATCGAGGCTTCCGTGTACCCCGTTGACCAGCAGTCAACTAGCGATAATTCCTCGACCCAACAAAATCAACAGCCCGAACCATACGGTGTCTTCACAGGACAGGTCATGACAGCTGTCAAGGAGGCTTGCAGGGCAGCCGTGCTACAGAACAAACCCAGGCTCGTTGAGGCTATGTACTTTTGTGAACTGAATACCCCAACCGAGTATCTGGGGCCCATGTATGCGGTTCTTTCTAGAAGGCGGGCTCGGGTGCTGAAGGAAGAAATGCAGGAAGGATCATCTCTGTTCACTGTGCATGCTTATTTACCGGTGGCTGAGAGCTTTGGATTTGCAGATGAGTTGAGAAGATGGACTTCTGGGGCATCGAGCGCGCTTCTTGTTTTTAGCCACTGGGAGATGCTTTCGGAGGACCCGTTTTTCGTGCCCAAAACGGAAGACGAGCTGGAGGAGTTTGGGGATGGGTCGAGTGTGCCGCAGAATACTGCCAGGAAGCTCATTAATGCTGTTAGGAGGCGAAAGGGGCTTCCTGTGGAGGAGAAAGTCGTGCAGCATGCGACCAAGCAGAGGACTTTGGCTCGTAAAGTGTAGAATTATTAGTAGGAGTTTTTTTTTTTTTTCTATGGTGCTAGGATTATTGTTCCTATAAGGTTTTTGAGGTGTTGAATTTGCACATTCCCTCTCCCGGTTTATCTTTTTGTGCGTATGTGGTTACTTTGTTCTGGTATAAATGTTACTTTGTGCGTATGTAGCAATTTGCACATTCGCAGCTGTTGTTACAATGAAATTTTGCATGGTTGCTAATGGATGGATGTGTTGTAGTTGAGGGGAAATACTGAAAATGAACACTACCATAATCTTTTTGAAATTGCTATGGAGCTCCAGTAATATCCATTTATTCACTTTGTTTATCATTACTTTGTGTTATTTTTTATTTTGTTTACTCTTGTCTCTCTTAGAGTTGTGCTTTTACAAATTCTAAAAGTAAAATAGTTCACTTTTAACATTTCCACTTAACCGTGCAAAGACTTTTTGACTCTGCAAATTTTCAAATAAATTATATGGGTTCTGGTACCTTGCGATCTTGGCATTTTCGTATTAGCTAGACTTCGCAGCTGTTGTGGGGGTATCAAGCTACTATTACAGTTTATGCATTTAATGTGTGGATGAGTAACTGTTTTTCATATGCTGTAGTTTGAAGAAAATGTGGTGCTATCATTCAACACAGTAAGAGATCATACATTAACCTGACATCATTCTTTTTGACAGATTGGCTTCAGGATTTGCAGTTTGCATGATTTGTAAATAATGAATGTTTCTCCATTGATGTAATAATGATAATACACTATCGACGATCAAGCTTACCAGAATTTCTGGAAATTGAATTTGTATTACATAAAGACTATTGTAGTGGAAGGTTTATACTTATGCATCACCAATTTTATATTTTTCCCATGAATTTTACCAAATCACCTTGACATTTTGGGAACCTGACTACAATTTTCGACTTTTGCTGTTAGATTTACCAGTTTTTTAAATGTTGCACATGGATGAGCATTTTGTTTGGGAGCATTTATGAAAAAGTTTATGGATTTATTCAAAATGGACTTCTCCAAAAGTCTCAATCATTTACTTTTTATAATGGACCTTTTGGAGAAAAAACTTATCTATAGTCTATTTTTAATTTAGCACCAAATATAAATATTTATCCAAATAGACTTTTGCATCCAAAAGTCCATTTGAAAAATGTTTCTAAACAAGCTCTAAATAGTCACACTATCCCTATTATATGTTAGTGCACCTATTTCATGTTAAGTCACACTAAAATAACCAAATCGAACTGCACTGAATTGTACGGTTCGGCTCGATTTTCTGTTTTATGTCGGTTTTACTTTACATTTTATTCAATTTGGTGCGATTCGGTGAAAAACTTCACCGAACCGAACGAAACCGAAAACGGAACTTATGAAAAACTATATCCGCACCGCAATGCAGGAAAAAACCAAACCGAAAAGAATAAAATTTTTACATTAAAAAAACCGAACCGCGGCTCGATTTTTCAGTTTCAGCTGGATTTTGTTCACTCGTAAATGTGAGCTGACGACAAACTAGGAGTCCTTACATGGAAATGCGGGCCATGTTGGCCCGCCTCCTTTTAAACTGTGGACTAGCGCGGTCCCGCCCAGCCCGTTTGTCACTGCCAATTCTATCGAGTTAATAATCCTGAGCTTAGAACAATCCGATGGCAGCGATCACTATAATCAAAGACATGAGTCATATGACTATGGTTTAATTAATGCGTTTATCCTATCCTTCATAAAAATCAAATGAGCCGCGTGAGGGTAGCGAAGGTAATTCCCTCCTTTTGGTGGCTGAACTGAAGATGTGGACGAAGTTGAACAAGGTAGATAGATGACGATTGACGAACCACCAATATTTTCCTCAACTCCTTTCTCTCTCTCTCTCTGAGTGACTACGCAAAACAACATTTAGCAGTCGAGCTTCATCGTGCAGCCATAGCCTCAACTCATATGTATATATATAAATGAAATAAATAACTGCAAACTGCTACTACCCCGCCACCGCTCGCCGGCAGTCGCAGACGCCGTAGGCTTTAGTATGACACCATAACCGATAACCCATATTTTCCAATGCATTTTGGACTCAACATATCCACCACATTCGCTTCTTCCACGGCCGCTAAATTCCACAATGCTGTTCATCGTCATCTTCGCCACCATGGATACAGAATCATCGACCCATCTTCCTGTTATCCTTCTACCAAAACCGCCGTGATATTCCCATCGACCAACTCATATTCGCTCAGGTGTGTTTATTTTTCTCGCCGATTTTGCCGCGCCAAGGGGGATGAGCTTGTGCAGGAGGAAAATCAACCATTTATCCCGGGCCCAGGTAACGATGATGGTGAAAGCCAACAATCGTTGCAGTTTTTGCCGCAATTGAGCGACTCCGCCATTTTATCCGCTTGCTTGGTTGGCCTGTTCACCGGCCTTGCCGTCGTACTTTTCAATTACACGGTAACATGAGCATACTCCCGTCATTTTACTAATTTGATTTTTTCCAGTCGATGCTAAATTAACAATTTCATGAGTTAATATTTTGTTAATTAGGTGCATGAGATTCGTGATTTGTGCTGGGTTGGAATCCCGGGCCGAGGTGCTGAGTGGTTGAGAGATGAGCCAATCAAAGCCAAATGGGGACGCGTAATTTTGGTTCCTGCCTTTGGAGGTCTGATTGTTAGTTTGCTGAACATGGTTTCGACTGCTGTAGAGGATGGGACTTTCATGTCCAGCTTCAAATCTGCCTTGAAACTAGTCCTGAAGACTCTGGCTGCTTGCATCACCTTGGGGACAGGGAACTCCTTAGGCCCGGAAGGCCCAAGTGTTGAGATTGGTGTCTCTGTGGCCAAAGGAGTGGGCAGTTTATTGGATAAGAGAGCTCAAAGGAAGTTGTCGCTCACGGCTGCTGGGTCTGCTGCTGGAATTTCTTCTGGTTTGTGGGTTTTTTTCTATAATCTGATTTGCTTGCCATTGGGGATATCTCAGTTTCCATTATTCGGAAATGGCTTGTGTATGCATGATGGTGCAATTTTAAGGTTGGGAGGTTTTTCTTCTAGATGTTTATGATAGGTTTCTATTGAATCATTTGTTGTTTTCGTTTTGAAAGGATTCAATGCTGCGGTTGGCGGCTGTTTTTTTGCGGTGGAGTCTGTTCTGTGGCCGTCACCTGCAGAGTCTTCATTGTCCTTGACGAATACAACTTCAATGGTCATTTTGAGTGCTGTAATAGCTTCGGTCATATCAGAAATTGGTCTTGGCTCTGAACCCGCTTTCGCTGTTCCCATCTATGATTTTCGTTCTCCGGGTGGTAATGTTTAAAATTCAGCTAGTTTTTCCCATATTACTATGATCACCTCTCAAAGCATTGACACTCAAATAGGGGATGTTTTTATTGTAATTATTCTCAGCTTACATAATCGTAATAGTATATATTACTTTTAATATGTTTCAACTCAAAAATTTTGTGTACTTTGAGTCGGTCTTTGGGAAAATAAATTATCTGTTTTCGCTAAAATGTGTTTATGAAGCATTGAATAAGATCAGAAAAAGCAACTCCAAACTAGCAGCAGAGTGAAGCAGGATTTATCCGAATTAAATGATTATATGGCTAGCGAAGTGGATTGTTCCACATTTTCTAATATCAAGCAAAAATATATTAGGTATAGGTATTATCATTGACAACATGACATGCTATTCTTTGGAGATCCACCCTATGCTTTTCAGCACGTCCTATATTGATAACAGTTTTTCTCCACTTAAATGCGTAAATTGTAACTTATTTAAATTTGGAAACTTATGTAGATTTTTTATTTATTGTAATCAGGACTGTGGTCAGTTCAAATTATTGTGCAAATGTGTTATAGTCTATCTGATATCCTGAGGTTATCCAGTACCAAATGCTATTTTTATCTACCTATCTATCAGTATCAATATCCTTGCCAAGTTTGACTACAGTTATTCTGAAATTTAGATTCTTTTACCTTTGATCTCTGTTTTCGTCAGTTCAGAACTGCCACTCTATCTTTTGCTGGGCACACTCTGTGGATTGGTTTCACTTGGCCTATCCAACTCTACATCTTTTATGTTGGCCTTTTTCAATGGTGTCCAAAGAACCACTGGGATACCAAAAGCAGTATTCCCCATATTTGGTGGTTTGACAGTTGGGATTATAGCCTTAGCATATCCCGAGATTCTTTACTGGGGATTTCAGAATGTTGATACTTTGTTGGAATCCCGACTATTTGCCAATAGTCTTTCAGCTGATCTGTTGGTTCAATTGGTAGCTGTCAAAATAGTGACCACTTCCTTATGCAGAGCTTCGGGATTAGTGGGTGGTTACTACGCCCCATCTTTGTTCATCGGTGCAGCTACGGGAATGGCATATGGCAAAATTGTTGGTTATTTGGTTGCCATATCTAATCCAATCTTTCATCTGTCAGTTCTGGAAGTTGCTTCCCCTCAAGCATATGGCCTGGTAATTTTCGCTTTTGCTCCGTATTGAAGTTTCATATATTTCTAGATTGGCATTGTGTCACCTGAAAATTTATATGAACGAAAAAATTATATGCATATGACATATTTAGTTTCTTAACTAATTCAAAGTGTTCATAAATAGTCGTCATATAAATATCAATGAATAATTATTAGATCGCAAAAAAACTAAAAATATAGGAAAAAGAAAAATTGATCGGGTCGATTGAGTTAACCTAGCCGAATCATTTCCCAGGTCGGCAACTTGTATTTGTGCTGAAAAACAATGGTTTACCTCATTAAGCTGTTTATGCTAATTTTTCAAGAGATAAATGTTGATATAGCTTTGTTTCTCTAGATCCAGGATACTAATTGCAGGGTTAGTTTCATGGTTATTTTAACACACAGGTTGGAATGGCTGCTACTCTAGCTGGGGTGTGCCAGGTGCCCCTCACATCCGTTTTGCTTCTGTTCGAACTAACACAAGATTACCGAATTGTACTGCCGCTTCTAGGGGCCGTGGGACTCTCTTCGTGGATAACGTCCGATCAGACTAGAAAAGGAAGGCCGAAAGAAGGAAATGAAACGGCAGCCATGCAAGAAAGATATCCTAATGATAACGACTCAAGCTTCAAACCAACCTTTAATGATGTCAAGGAGCAAAACAGAAGTGGCATTTGCGAGCTTGAGAGTTCACTGTGTCTGAATGAGGATTCGGGTGACGATGTGGACAACTTGTTAGTGAATGAAATCATGGTTTCACAGGCAATGAGAACAAAATATATCACAGTGCGGATGGACACTTCCCTGACCGACATGGTGGCCCACATGCTGGAGGAGAAGCAATCATGTGCTGTAATCGTTGACGAGAAAAATCGGCTCTTGGGCCAGCTGGCACTTGGTGACATTCAGCAGTTCATTGAACTGTCGAGGGCTAAAAGAAACAGGAAACATCATCAGGTAGCTTTTTTTGTTATGTGCTTATCAGTGTTTTGTGTTATAACACTTTGGATTTAGTTATATGATTAAAAAGATACTTCCCATGATGGATGAACACATTTTAGCGCAACTTTTTGAATCATTTTCCCATGTACGTGTTGTGATATTCTCCAAGTGAAAGGTTGCCGTAAATCACTGACTGCAGGTACTTAGAGTATCCGAGCTGTGTTCCTCTATTGGAAAAAGATGTTCTGTGGCATGGACAGCAACCCCAAACATGAGCCTCTTAACTGCTCGAACACTGATGAATAGACATGACATAAACCAACTACCTGTCATTGTGAGCGATGGGGATAATGGAGGCTGTCCAGTCGGTCTATTAGACAGAGAATCCATAGATCTTGCTTGCAGGTAATAATGCATTTAATTTTACACCCTAAGATAATATACTCTGTTTTAGTCATTGCTAATATGTTTTTTGCCAAAGATTGCTTCAAGAGTTGAACCAAAGATTGCAATATGTTATTATTTATTCAGAAACGTTCGTTGGAAAAGGTTTTGAAACATTTGCATCGTATGCATCTGCTTGTTTTTTTGCCTTGGTCTTTATTGAAAAAGGCGGACCATCTTTTTTTTTTTAATGGATATTTNAAAATGTAGGAGGTTGTCATTTCATAGGAATTGTTTGACAAAACACAGTGATCTTAATAGATAACACGATTGAACCCTTGTGATATATATTTGCTTTCTACAAATATTCAGTTGCGTGATGTTTTCTTGTGACACAGAGCATTTGCAATCCGGGAGGGCCTCAACTGGTTCTTTGTACAGGAGGAATTCAAGAATTCAGACGTTTAGAGGGTATAATTGTCATTCTGCACCGATTCGGCAACCATCCATTTTCACAGCTCTCAACTAAGAAAATACTGAATACTGTCAGAAGGCTCGAAACTAAAGCACGTGTCTTCATTCGTTCTCCAACCCAATCAACACATTTTAAATTTTTTACATTTTTCGGTTGTATAGAATAGAATAGATGGGCATAGTCTCTACCCTTGTTCCCTATTTCTGTACACAAAAAAAAAAAAAAAAAACGNCAAGAACTCTTCAAGCATGAAAGCCAACCGGGCAATTCAACGGTCCATTGGATTTGAAGAATTTATGTATTAGTCATATTGATCCAAACAGTGTTCTAAAAATCGAGCTATAAAAATCGCGGGAGCCCTCGATTTAGGTGGTCCTTCTAAGCACTCGGGCAATTAGCCACTGTCTAGACGGGTCAAATGGTTGCAAAGTTAGTTATGCCTAGATTAATTTGACGGTTTATGTGGCTAATCTAGGTGGTCCAAGTGCCACATAGGCGCCCGTTTAATTATTTTTACATTTTTAATTTATTTTCAACATATAATAAAAGCATATTTTGATTTTATTATATATATAATATGTATAATAAAAACATTTTGATGCCGAAATAAATCGAGTAACCCTAAAAGAGGGGCTTGCACTTACATGAATGGGAAAAATCTTCAAAACCAAATAAAAAATATTACATATGGCAGTAAATATGATAAATACACAAAAGGAACAATAAGCTTCTTTCTGTATTGAGTAAATCTAGAAAAATATGAAATCATTTACGAGGAAAAGAAATAAATTAATTAATTAATTCAAGGAGGAGAACAATGATATCTTCTCAAATGTCTTGAAACACAGCAAACAAATCCCCATGGATGTAGTCATTGTCAACCAAGCTAACCAAATAATAACTGCTTTGGACCTGAAACAAAATACAGTTTTGAAAACAATAGAATTCTTGCAGACACAGACACAAAAAAAAATAAAAAAAAAATAAAAAATAAAAAATAAAAAAAAAAAAGTGCAAGATTCACAAATCTAATAATGCTGACCTCTTCAAGTAATTTTCTGGAAGGATCAGATTCTGGGTACAGTTTACCCCATCCTCTTGACCATAATTCATAAGCTTCATCCTTCCATACCATAAAGCTTGCAGGGTCAACAACAGTGGGTTGAATGATCTCCTTTGCTGGGAAAACCCCCCACGTGACTGCATTCACATCCCCATTTTTCATGTTTGATATTAAGTTTCCTTGTTTGTTCACAGCCATGTATGTGAGGAATGGGAATGACATGCACTTCTCCACTAGAGTATTCAGGCTCTCCAAAGAACAGAAAAACTCCAAGTATGCCTTCTGGTACACATATCCGCCGGGCCCACCCCATCCTGTAAAACAAAACTCCAAATTAGTACCTCTTTCCTAACCAGAAATGGGTAAATTGACATCTTTGAGTAAAGTATTGTAATTTAATGTCTATATAACAAATTTGTTTACGCACAAAATTACAACTTGTAAGGTAAGGTCTGGTATGATGACAAAGCAAATAGATTGGCTTCAATGTTCAATGAATGAATTCAGTTAATTTCGACTGTTAAAAAAATATATGCTTTATAATAACAATAAAACATAACAACTTTCATTACCAAAAGATGGCGAGTCCGATTTCAGTCCATTGACTGCTGGTTGGCTGTTGATTGTAAGAAAACCTTTCAGGTTAATGTCGGCAAGTTGTTCATTAATGATTTTGGTCTCTGGTTGAAGACCATCTAGTTCTGACCACGGGTTACTTCGCAATTTCCCAAGGCAGAACTTCGTGAATTTCTGTTGTGTTGAAAGCTTGGTAAGGACTGGAATTTTGTAAATATCGAGGTTTTTAATGAAAACAAATTTGGACCAAAAGATGATAACCTCACAAATATCTTCCACATTTTTCAAAGGTGTGGCCCATTCTTCACCAATTTTCTTGTCACGCGCACGAGGTCGTATAAACTGCAAGGAAGTACAGTCATTGTAACTCAATTAAATAGTGCCTCACAGAAAAATTAAAAAAGCAAAAACAAGATAAAAAGGAATCAGTACAATGTTCGTAAAAACTACGAAAATGAACTATTTTTGGAGATTCCATAGCTATCAAAGTTATGGGACAAAGCATTGAGATGGGGAGAAAACAGAACAAGCGCTTCACATGAAAGAGAATGACTAAATTCATTTCTATGCAAGGAAAGAAGCACATGGAACAGTCTGTACAATTCAAGTTTCTCATATAGTATAAATGCTTTTTCCATTATAATGGCTCACTGATTCACTTTATGACATGCCAAAGTTTTCACCTCCACTGCTGTTGTTCTACAAACCAAATGCAAGTTGAGATCCAGCTGATCAGTGGCATTGTAGCTCTTTTAGAGTCGGGTTGTTACCTTTCATTTGTATGTTGCCACATATCTGCTTATTGTGTCGTGGGCTTAACCTCTAACTTAGCATAATAGTATAAATTGAAGGGATGAACCTTGCACCTTGAACTAGGGGGAGATTATACCACTCTCCAGTGCTCAAATATTTCACATTATATTCAGTTACGTAGAAATAACCAATTTTATTGGTTACTATTACCTATGATATGTTTGTCTAATTGATAAAAAAAACCATTCAACGAAAATCAAAAGGGGGCAACAAGATAGTGCATACCTGATAATCACTCAGTGCTCCAAAAGATGGATTCTGATAATCACCCCATCTGCCAGTTGGGAATTGGTCCCAACCTATAGTTCTTGATATGTAACTTTTAGGACGATTAGCCCTAACATCATTAGTCTTAAGCCATCAGGTTTTCATAAAATTGGTAGCTATTACCTTACAATTCGGAAAAGGAAATCCAAAAATAACTTCATCACAAATTGCTTACCAGAATATTGGGCGCACATTTTCTTTTACACGAAAAACATTTGCTGGACGTCTCCAAGGCAAGGGTCTTGAAATTTTGGACTCCTCGATCAACCCAAGATTCTGCAAATGGAAGTCCACATAACCCCTTATGTGTGTGTTTCACCAATTCACGTGAAAGGTATTTAGAATCGTATATGGCTATGTATTTTTAAAGCTAAATATGATAGGAAAATCAACCATCAGTATAGCCAAAGCTGATTTCTCCATGTTTAATGTATAAAGATGTAATGTTCTGATCCCACAGGCCAAAATTTTCTTGCACATTTCAGTCCCCAAATGAATACCATAAGCCCTGACAGCTTCTTCATTGTCCTTGATTGGTTCTAAGGCAGCGATAATTTCAGGTGGGATCTATAGTGCATCACACAGTATTGTATAAGCACTTGGCACAAACTGAAATTTCTGACATCATAATATTTACTGATGATGCCATTTATATAGAAACAACAGAAATTCAAGTACAAGACCAACAAGAAACATATATTGAAACTAATTTAAACAAAGCCAAGACTTTTTTGCATAAGTCAGATAGTAAAAGATGGCCGGTAACCCTGAGCTTGATCAGAATACATATGATGAAAGATTGAAAGTAGACATCCATTATATTCAAGTTGCATTGATATATATGTGTGTGTGTGTGTGTGTGTGTGTGTGTGTGTGTGTGTTTTCAACTTGTCTAGCCTATAAAACTTCTTAGCAGCGAGGTGGAAGGACCTGTCATGACTTTCTTTAAGAGAGATACAATTCACAATCTCCTTGGGAACTTTCCTCTCCACACCCCTGGTGTACTACAAAAACATCCAAATGCACTTTTTGTTCCAGAGTGCAACTCTACAAAAGATAATTTCACACCATATTGGCATACTTGAATGAGCTATTTTCCCTTTTATATGCAATTGATACAACTTCCATGAAACAACTTAGAAGAAAAAATGCATATTTTTGATTGTATAGGAAGAAATATTTCCATAGATGAGAGTCATACAGCAGTCTGGACAAAAATGAAATTAAAAAATCTTAAATAATTGCTTAAACCTTAGTTTTACAAAAACCAATCATGCGGAGGAAGCCCTTGTAGTTATTAATGGGCATGATACCCGGTACTATAGGACAAGTTATTCCAATTTGTCGACAGTCATTGACAAATCTGAGGAAGATGTCAGTGTCATAGAATAGTTGGGTGACAACAACTTCAGCTCCAGAATCAACCTGCGACAAGAACAAGAACAGTGGCATAATACCGTAACCAGAAAGTTACACAACGTAAGTCACAAAATCAAAAGCATTTTCGATAAAAGTCGAGTAAACAATTTTATCTTCATCCTTGAGGGAATAAGATAACCTTTTGCTTAAGGTAGGCAAGTTCATTCTGATAGGCCTCTGGTGGTACAACTCCGTCCTGAATAACATCAGGATGCCCCTCTAAATAAAGGAAGAAAGAGTTTCTATTAAGAAATAATCCATGCAGGATGGTCAACACATGGAAAGAACCCCCATATCTGTTACACATTGTTAATTACATGATACAAATGTAATCCCACCAGGTTTTGATGTTACTAATGGGCAATAATATTACGGCTACAGCATAGCAATGAACTCTGAAGTTTCAATAGGATATACCTTGCATCATTTTAATTTTCTTTTCACCAAGGCCGACAAATTCTTTTGAGTGTGAATCAATATATAATGAACATGTGTAATTAAAGTTGATTTCATATTGAAATTGACATGATATGAAGTAAGGACAAATTATACTTGAAATTAAAATGCATGTAGAAAACAACGTAAAATTCCACATTATATGAAACCATAAAAATAGAACATGAACTCGACTCCCTTTCTTTCGACTAAGATTTCAGCCACATTCTTCATGCCAGAAGTTTTTAAAGTGTATGGAACATTAGTTTATATACACAACTACCCTTGATGTGCATATGCGAGAAAGTAAGATAACAAAATGAAACCTAACGTGCATTTAAACTGAAAATCCAAAGTTTCCAAATATTGACAAAATGGAAAGTGAGAGTGGGTACACTACAATAAAATTAAAATATATGAGCACCTGGATAACCAGCAACAGTTATCCCAAAATAGTCCCCATATTTGGCACGAATATGCTTAACCTGCAAAAACAAACACAATTTTCACTCAAACGAAAAAAGAAAAAAAAAAACAAGCAGATCAGAGAAAAACTGAAATCTCGAATTCAATCCAACACTCACGAGGTCGAGGGCGCACCCGAAGCCCCCGTCGACCTGAACGAACTTTTCCTGACCGTGGGGAGGGTCGCCGCGCAGGGCGAGGACGTTCTGAATGCCGTTGGACTTGATGGTGGCGAGGGCGTGGTCGATCTTCTCTAGGGGCATGTTGGTGCAGGTGAGATGCATCATGGTCTCGACGCAGACCATGTTCTGCATCCGGTTGGCGATCTCCAGGGTCAGATCGGCGGTGGTGCCGCCGGCGCCCCAAGTGATGTCGCAGAAGGTGGGCCCGCAGGCGGCCATGCGGTCCATCCGCTCGAACAGGTTGTCGACGCCGTCCTCCGTCTTGGGAGGGAAGAACTCGAACGAGAAGACGGCATTGCCGGCGGAGGACTCGCGGATCTTGTCTATTACCTTCATTCTTCGGGAGGAATAATTTTGGAAACTGGATTGAGCAGTGTATGCGGAGGAATGTGACGGTTTTGAATTTCCCGAAATTTGGGAGGAAGAAAAAGAAGCTTTACAGAAAATGTGGGAATAAAATTAGAATGCCAACATATAGTTGACACGTTTTCATCAACCCCGAAACAAACGCAGGCCTTTGTTTGCTACTTCGACGTTCAAGCACTTTCTTATGAATTTTTTTCCCGACATATTTCAACATTTTGCATCTAATAACACATTTAAAGGGATAAATTATGTTTCTAATAGATAATTTTTTTTAAATGTCTTTTATATTTGGGTTTTGATTGGTGAAAATCCAATTAAATATCCTTTTATTGATATTTATATGAACAAAAAGATATGTTATTATAACTTTTAATAATTTAATATTATTTTCCGTACATCTCACGTTTTATATATATACTAATACGTGCTCATGCGATGCAAATGAATATAGTATTACAATTCTATTATAGATTGAATATATAAATTATAATAATTGTGAGTGTATTTAATCAGAGATGGTGGCCAACCAATTATTTAATTAGGTGGTTGGTTTGTAGTGGAGAAATAAAAAATGCAAATTGCAGCTGGAACCACATGAAGAATCTGAAGAATCAATTTCTCTTGTGAATTATTAAACCAAGTTGGGCTAAATTATTGCTAAAGACGCGTGAAGACATATGCACAATTGCTCAAAATCCATTATAAATAGCGGGGCTCAGCAGAAGGAGATATACACAGAAGAAAAGAAAGAGAAAATGAAAGAAAGAAAGAGGGAAAGGAAAATTAGAGGTATAAAAATAATTTTGGAGGGATAAAAATATCAGAGGAAAAAAATATAGAAATATTTATTTGTTATCGAAATAACAAAAGAGTAATATTTTTATTCCTATTTTAAGTGCTCAATTATCAACTCCGTTCCAGTTCGCCGGAGCTCTTAAATCTGGTGTGTTACAGATGTAGAGACGTTTGCCGTTGTATCTTTTGGGAAGTTACGCCTAAACCGTTAGCTGCCACACGGGGCGTATTCTTCTTGCGGAAAGAGTTTTACTCGCCTCGGCTAAAATCTTTCCGTTTTGTTTTATTTTTTAATTTTAATTTATTTTTCAGTTCGATTGTAATTTTCTATTTTTTTTAGATTATTTGTAAGAACTGAAAAATACATATCAGTTCGTAGGATTCCCGTGTATTTGATACCCAGATACTAACAATCGCAAGAAGAATATCTCAACCTACTGGACTGATGGCTTCCACCGGAAATAGTTCCAACACTCAGCATCCGATCAATCATATACCTGCTGTCCATGTCCCTACTGCCGAGAAGCCCGAAAAATTCAATGGGCTTGATTTTAAAAGGTGGCAACAAAAGATGCATTTTTACCAGACCACTTTGGGTTTGGTGAAATACCTGAAGGACGACCCCTCGGTTATTGCTGAAAATGAGACCAATACTGAACTACGCACTGCGTACGAAGCTTGGGGGCAAGGTGATTACCTTTGCCGTAACTATGTCCTGAACGGACTTAGTAACGAGTTGTACATGTGAACAGCTCGGTTGGTTCTGCCAAAGAGCTTTGGGCTGCTTTGGAAAAGAAGTACAAGACCGAGGATGCCGGGGCGAAGAAATTCGTCATCGAAAAATTTCTTGACTTCAAAATGGTTGACACAAAGACCGTTGTGTCACAAGTGCAAGAATTCCACCTCGTCTTGCACGATATTCATGCTGAGGGAATGTCTCTGAGCGAGTCATTCCAAGTTGCGGCTGTGATTGAAAAACTGCCGACGAGTTGGAAAGACTTCAAGAACTACCTCAAACATAAGAGGAAGGAAATGAGTCTTGAAGACTTGATTGTTCGTCTTCGTATTGAGGAGGACAATCGTAATTCATCGGGGAAAATTCCGATGATGGAGGCTCGTGCTAACTTGATAGAGCAAGGCAACTCGAGCAAGAGAAAGTCCCTAGACAAAGGGAAGCAGTCTGCCAAGGTTTGGAAGTTTACCGGAACTTGTTATAATTGTGGAAAGCCGAACCATATGACTAAAGACTGCAAGAGGCCAAAGAAGGCTGAGCCAAAGAAAGGTAAACTGAGTGCCCTTGTTGCTGAACACGGCCCTGTGCCGGGTGAACTAACCGACTTTGATATGTCGGTTGTGGTGTTTGAAGCCAATATGGTGGATAACCCAAGGGAGTGGTACATCGATACTGGTGTCACTCGTCATGTGTGTTCTGATAAGGAGGTATTTTCTGAATACACTCTTGCTAAGAGTCGGAAACTTTACATGGCAAACTCCGCCACGGCTGATGTGGCTGGAGTGGGCACTGTGGTGCTGAAGCTGACTTCTGGAAAGGAGTTGAAGCTTAAGAATGTTCTGCATGTCCCAGACATCCGCAAGAATTTGGTCTCCGAATCTCTTCTTGTTGAGCATGGATTTAGGCTGGTATTTGATGCTAAGAAATTTGTTCTTAGCAAGTTTGGAACTTTCCTTGGTCGTGGCTATCTCGACAAGGGTATGTTTAAAATGAATGTAATGACCGTAAGCCGTGTAACCGTTTTAAATGATAATGAAAAGCCTATTTCTGTTTATACCGTTGAGTGCTCTGATTTATGGCATATTAGATTGGGACATGTAAATCGAAATGCAATTAAACGGTTGATGAATTTAGAATTAATTCCTAATTCTAAAATTGAATCACATAAGAAATGTGAGATTTGTATTGAAGTAAAAATGGCTAAGTTTCCTTTTCACTCGGTGGAAGGGTGTACTGAACCATTAGGCTTAATCCATACTGATGTATGTGATATGAAAAGTGTGCAAACAAGAACGGGTAAAAAGTATTTTATTACTTTTATCGATGATTGCACAAGGTTTTGCTACTTATATTTATTAAGAAGCAAAGACGAGGCTGTGGAAGAATTTAAAATTTATAAAACCGAAGTTGAAAATCAACTCGGCAAAAGGATTAAAATAATCCGAAGCGATAGGGGTGGGGAGTATGTAGCTCCTTTTGAACAAATATGTTCCGAAAATGCCATAATTCATCAAACGACTGCCCCTTATTCTCCACAGTCAAACGGTGTTGCTGAACGCAAGAACCGTACTTTAAAAGAAATGATGAATGCCATGTTGATAAATTCAGGATTACCTCAAAACATGTGGGGGGGAATCTGTTTTAACAGCAAATCATATTCTGAATAAAATACCACCTAAAGGGAAAGATGAGTCTCCTTACGAAATGTGGAAAAATCGTAAGCCGTCTTATAAATACCTGAAAGTGTGGGGGTGTTTGGCTAAGGTTTCAGTACCGGAACCCAAACAAATGAGAATCGGGCCAAAGACGGTCGATTGTGTATTTATTGGATATGCGTACAATAGTACAACATATAGATTTCTGGTTCATAAATCAGAAAATCCAGAGGTATCTGTTGGTACCACGATTGAGTCGAGGAATGTTATATTCTTTGAGAATATTTTTCCTCTGAAGGATAGAGCAGAATCTAGTTCTAATAAACGAACGTATGAAACTGCTAGTGGTTTTGTACCAGATGGTACTGATGAAGAACTGAGACGTAGTAAAAGGTTAAAAACAGCGAAAACGTTTGGACCTGATTTTATTACGTACATGTTGGACGATTAACCGAGCTCCCTTAAGGAAGCTCTGTCCAGCCCAGATGGACCACTCTGGGAAGAAGCTGTAAATAGCGAAATCGAGTCCATTATGCAGAACCATACTTGGGAGTTGGTTGATCTCCCTGATGGTTGTAAACCTTTAGGATGCAAGTGGATCCTAAAGAAGAAATATAAAGCTGATGGATCGATTGATAAGTTTAAAGCACGTTTGGTGGTCAAAGGCTTTAAACAAAAAGAAGGGTATGATTTCTTTGATACCTATTCACCAGTTACGCGTTTAGCGTCGATAAGAGTGCTTTTCTCGATTGCTGCTTTGCACAATCTTGAGATTCACCAAATGGATGTCAAGACAACATTTTTAAATGGTGAATTGGAAGAAAAAATATACATGGAACAACCTGAAGGGTTTGTTGCAGGACAAGAGAGAAAGGTGTGTAGATTGATCAAATCCTTGTACGGACTGAAACAAGCTCCGAAACAATGGCATTTGAAATTTGATGACATAATGTTGTCAAATGGTTTCAAAATCAACGAATGTGACAAATGTGTTTATGTCAAGAGTACATCAAATGCATTTGTGATTATATGTCTATATGTAGATGATATGTTGATCATGGGGAGTAGCCATGAAGTGATCATGGATACGAAAAGAATGTTGAAAAGAAATTTGACATGAAAGATATGGGTTTGGCTGATGTTATTCTTGGAATAAGGATAATCAGAACCCAAGATGGAATTGTCTTGTCACAATCTCATTATGTAGAGAAAGTGCTTAAGAAATTTGATACCTATGACGGTGCACAGTCTAGGTGTAAAACACCCATTGATCTCAGTATAAATCTGGTAGCCAATAAAGGTCAACCAGTGGCTCAGTTGGAATATTCACGGATAATAGGGAGTCTGATGTACTTGACGAATTGTACACGACCAGACTTGGCATATCCGGTGAATAAGTTGAGCAGATTTACGAGCAATCCCAGTCATGAGCACTGGAATGCTTTGAGAAGGGTACTTAAGTACTTGAGGTACACCCTTGAATACGGGCTAAAATACTCAAGATATCCAGCCGTACTAGAAGGGTACTGTGATGCAAGCTGGATATCAGATTCGAGAGATTCTCGCTCCACTAGCGGATATGTTTTCTGTATTGGGGGAGGTGCAGTTTTGTGGAAATCCACAAAACAAACGTGTATAGCTCGGTCAACGATGGAATCAGAGTTCATCGCTTTAGATAAAGCTGGTGAAGAAGCCGAGTGGCTTAGAAATTTTTTATCCGATATTCCATGTTGGGATAAGACTTTGCCGCCTGTGATGATTCACTGTGATAGCCAAGCTGCTATAGGTAGGGCGCAAAGCAACTTGTATAACGGAAAGTCTAGACATATTCGTCGTAGACATAATACCGTACGCCAATTGATCACAAATGGTGTTATTTCCATTGACTATGTGAAGTCTAAGGAAAATTTGGCTGATCCTTTGACGAAAGGATTGAATAGAGATCAATTGGTAGTTTTGCTAGAGGGAATGGGCTTAAAAATCCACAATTTAAAGAATGATCATAGTGGTAACCCTACCATGCTAAGTGGAGATCCCACGAACTTGGTTCAAAGGGAAAACTAAGCTATAAAAATTCAGTTGAGCACTTGGAACATATGAATGTCCAAAGCTATTCCCTTGAGCACTCCAAGTGCAAGATGACCTGTTGATTGTGGTGAGGGTAAGTCATGTGGACTTTTAATGAATCCCTAACCTTGTAAAGGTGGAGTAATATAGGATACTCTTGATAGGAAGGTCACCTATATAAGTGTGAAGTGTGGGCCGCTTCAAATGTAAACACTTATGAATCCAAAGTGATGTCCATGGCCAAAACGGACACAACGATAGAACGGAATGGAGTTAAGATTCTATTGTGTGAATGTCATTGTCTAGGTGTACACTATGGAGGAATAGTTCAAGGCATTATGTCCACTAGGCCGCCAGTGCATCCGATGATGTTTACTACGAAAGGTTCAAAGCCAAAAACTACCTTTTCTGATGCAATAGAGTTTTGTGAGAATTGAGCACAATAGTATGTTTATTTAAAATACACTCATGTGGGGGATTATAATAATTGTGAGTGTATTTAATCAGAGATGGTGGCCAACCAATTATTTAATTAGGTGGTTGGTTTATACAACCAATGCAGCCAGGTGGAGAAATAAAAAATGCAAATTGCAGCTGGAACCACATGAAGAATCTGAAGAATCAATTTCTCTTGTGAATTATTAAACCAAGTTGGGCTAAATTATTGCTAAAGACGCGTGAAGACATATGCACAATTGCTCAAAATCCACTATAAATAGCGGGGCTCAGCAGAAGGAGATATACACAGAAGAAAAGAAAGAGAAAATGAAAGAAAGAAAGAGGGAAAGGAAAATTAGAGGTATAAAAACAATTTTGGAGGGATAAAAATATCAGAGGAAAAAAAATATAGAAATATTTATTTAGTATGGAAATAACAAAAGAGTAATATTTTTATTCCTATTTTAAGTGCTCAATTATCAACTCCGTTCCAGTTCGCCGGAGCTCTTAAATCTGGTGTGCTACAGATTTAGAGACGTTTGCCGTTGTATCTTTGGGGAAGTTACGCCTAAACCGTTAGCTGCCACACGGGGCGTATTCTTCTTGCGGAAAGAGTTTTACTCGCCTCGGCTAAAATCTTTCCGTTTTGTTTTATTTTTAAATTTTAATTTATTTTTCAGTGTAATTTATTATTCAGTTCGATTGTAATTTTCTATTTTTTTTAGATTATTTGTAAGAACTGAAAAATACATATCAGTTCGTAGGATTCCCGTGTATTTGATACCCAGATACTAACATAAATAACATAAATTATTATTTACTATTATTTTAAAAATCGAACTGGACAGTCCGACTGGATGGACCGGTCTGATGCGCTTGAATAAGATGTTTGTTAGTGAACTTGTCAATACCGGTTGGTCGAACTGGTAGCATCAGTCTGAATTTTTAAATAATTTTTTATTTAAAATTATTCAACTTAAATAAAAATGCATTTTTAATGAAATGGAGATTTTTAAATTATTTATAATTACTTCAAATATTTGAATAATTTACTTTGTTGAGATATTTAATTATCTTTTTATATAAACTTACTATAAAAATTATTTTACATATATATTAAAATATTAACTAAATTATAATCTAACCAGTGAATAATTGAACCAATAGTTTGATAGGTTAGATGATTCTTGTAATACAATATCATTGTGTTCACATAAATATTAATAAAATGGTATAAATATATTCATAAAAAGAATTGAACATATTGTCATAAAAGCATCATTAGTATGATTATTTGGAGTTCGGGCTACATTATATTTATCTTAACAAAATATTTTAACATTAAAATTTATAAATGGTTTCGATAATCAATTTAGTCTAGTCAAACTGACCCATAACTTGATCACATGGGATCAACTAAAGTTGTGTTATATTTCTGAACTATTTTAAATATGACCTAAAAGTAATTCAAGCAATTTGGGCAGTAACATAATTCAATCTCCCAATTATCTAAAGAAATTTTCTTATTTCATTAAATATATTTAACTTGATAAAATAAAAATATTTTATGATTCATGCAGTAGTATTTATAACTAATGACAATATATTAAGATTATAAACTATAAAGCTAAAGAAAAATTTGTTGAGGTCGTTTTTGCCAACAAGATTACGAAGCGGTAATTAGTTATATCGAGATTTGTGGGTTGGATTTGAAAGAAACAGAAAAAAAAAAAATTAAGGCAATAAGACACTCAAAGAATTAGGTACTTACGTTAATACGCTTGTACCGAGATTTATTCAGGAATTCAGATCATTTTTGATCTATTATTACATTACCTACTGAAGGGAATTGATTTGGTTGTGTGTGTTTTTTTTTTATTATTGGAAATCGATTGTATTTAATGATTTGTTGATGATTTTCTAAGTGTCAGGGGATGGTTATTTATAAAAACAGAGGAGCAATAAATAATATTATCCTCAGGATTTGTGCGCGAGCTTTTAGAGGTCCGCCACATGCAAGGCACCACGTGGCACAACAACTTGCTCAAGTTTCTCAATTTTTGGGCCATGCGAACAGGTTATGAGCGGTTACTCTTTTCACACTGAATCAACTTAGATCGACATGAAAGAAGCCTTGCACATCTGTGGTTTCTGTCGATGTGAGATGATTGCCTCTCTTATATCATAGTGACATTGGCCTGATGGGTTTGCAGCCCGAAATGAGATAGGCAAAGAGGACGGTGTCAGCAGTCTTAGGGTATTCCCTGTGTCGATGTAAATCCATTGCCTACGTCATCGTCCTATAGTGGGATAATCAAGATCGGTACATTTTAGGTATAACAGAAGACTCCCAGGTTCCTGAGACAAGACGACACATTTCGGTTGGTCGCATGAAGTTGTTTTAGTTTATCATGAAGATCTGGTGATGAGATTTCATCGAGAAATCGATGACAATGTCAGGCGCCCACATATAGTGGATATGGGCGTTTAAATGGTCAACCCAAAACTGGTAGAGTAAAGTCCTTTTTGAAGGAATAAAAGTTGTGTCCTTTTGGTTCTCTACGTGCAAAAAGTGTGTCATTTTAGTGTCTGCTTGCCACGTGTCTGATTATGAAAAGTTGGCCTGTGAAGCGTCGCCCTTCTTTTTAAAACGTCTCCTCAGAGCATTGATAACAATAACACGTGTACCAATGAGGATGTTTTCTTGAGGATATGTATATAAATAAGGAAAGAGAAATCTTATCCCTTTTCTTATTTACAAGTTTTGTTGACAAAGAGAGCCCTCTTTTTCTTCTTACTTATTCCTCCCTCTAGAATATATAGCTCGTACTTTGGAGGGATTTGCTCAACTCGTTTTGTCTGAATTAATCGTTGTGAAGTACAAAATAATGGGGCGACTGAAAATACTTGTTGGTCTAAAGAGAAAGGCCGCCAAGAGCAAACGATCAAGGGCCGCCAGCGGCGCCAGGGGTGAATATTCTAGTTTTGGACCATGAGAGGCCCTTGCAAACGTAGGGAGAAATGCCTCAGGTTCAACAATCGAGACTTAAGGAGGTTTCTCGCGACAGTACCCCCAAAAACAAGGTTGAAGAGGGCAGTCAACCTATCGAGTCACCCATTAAGATAACTTCGGAAGGAAAATTATATGTCGAAGCTGCCGAAGAAGATTTTGTCCCCTATCCCGAAGACGATACTGATCGACTCGTCATTGTAGGAGGCAACAGAGGTACAAGTGGAGCAATAGTGCCCAAAGGGCAAGGGTATCGAGGAAACCTTTCCCTTAGGGTCGAAATTGCTGGAGCCGTTCTCCTGGACCATGGACCTGAAGAGACCAGATCTCAATCAATAGTCGGATCTCCAATAAACTCCGACGCTAGGGTGATCGGGCATCGGACATCGACTGAAACCCCCTTCATTGCCACTAGAGAGGGGAAGCCCAATTGGCTCCACAAGAGAAGGAGGCTCTTTTAACGAAGCTTGCTCCTGGGGGTTCGTCGTCTCGAGACCCGGCGGTGGTTTTGCTGATGTACGTGGAAGGCCGCCCGAACTCCCCGTTGGGCCAAGTCGCGGTGCTGAAGGAGCTGCGTGAAGCCGATCAGAAAGAGATCAACAGACTAAGAAAGGGAGCGACGTCGTCCCAGGGTGCTAAAGTTCTGTATCCCACCTAGGAGGATGTTAGTGTGTACTAAAAGCTTGACTTTTTATTCTGAACACTATTCCAATTTGAATCGGAATCATGTTTAATTAAAAGTGTTTATTAAAGATCATATTATCATATACTTGTAAAATATAAAGATCGGTGCACAATCTAGATAGAATTGAACAAATTATTGAGAAAGATTGTAGTGTAATTTCTATCGATTTTAATGTAATTTGTATCAGATATCTAGTACACTGAGATTATTATTGAATGAACATGCAGATGATAAGTTTATTTTATATCCATTTCATCTGAATAGTTCTTTGTTGTCAAGATACAAATACATTCTCAAATGAGTCAATTCAACTGGCCAGACGGGGGAGAAAAGGCTTGGTACCATTCGGAAATGCAGAATTTGCTTTAGTTTTAAATGCATGCTTGTTACATTGTTGGCAAGAAAAAATGTAAAAAGAAGTAGCAAGATGTTGCAACCAACTGAAATTTTATTCCAAACTTCAATTCTGCCACAGGAAGAGTTCTCGCTAACATGCCAACGTTTAGCTGGAGCAATCTATTAATAAAAATAAAACTAATAACAAGAGTACTAAAATGGAATAAAACTTGAGGATGAACAAATTAATATCCACATATCTCAAGTTAAATTTATATGAGCTCTCAGGTTTTCTTCTGCTTTGTCTGCTTTGTTGGAGGTGGAAACAGAAAACGGAAGACCCATGCAGCCAGTATTGCTCCAACAAAGGGACAAATCCAGTACACATATAATTGCTCCCATGTATTGTGCTTATTGTTTATGTAAGCCCAGCCAAATGCCTGCACAGGTATTAATGGAGGTGAAGCAAACGAGAACACACAAATATGTTCTAAGAAGTTGTTTTGGCATCATAATTCATAAGTTCATCTGAATTCTAAAATAAATTGCGGACCAGCATTCAATCGAGAGAAACGAAATAAGTAATAAAATTTGTTGGAACTATATACATCACTAGTCAAACAAAAACAGAGTTACCAAAATTGTGTTGAGCATCATACAAGGATGCTGAAACACATTAAATGGACAATTTCAGTCAAAGTGATCAGATGTAAGCAAGCTTCAAAATCTCACATACTCGAATATAATTCTAAAAGTCCTGCCCTACTATGTGAACTTGCTTCATTCACAGAATTGATCACAGACGGATAGACTTATAATAATAGAACAATACAAATGTTATCAAGATGTCTGCACAACATTTCTCTATATAGTAGATGTATAATGAAATAACCTATATTAAGAAATGAAATAACTAGTTTTTACTTTTTAGTTACTGCTGGTCATCTCACATGCTAATATATGGTGCAGAGAATTCAAGGGTAATCCATCTGAATCCAAGCAGTGTTAATACAATCAGAGAACAAAGTATCCTTCTCTGAGCACCTTTTTCTATTGCCAAATTAAAATGACAAGTTGGCAACTAAACCACTGTTTCACAGAAAATAGGGGTCAAATACTACCATCTTCATCCCAGTATGGTTTTCTATTTAACGATGTTTCTCAACCAATTTGATTTATCTTTTTCCACTGTAATGCTGAAATAACATCTGTTCACCAAATATCCGAATGACTGAAAGACTTAAATATCATGATTCCAAGTATTCATGACTGTAAAATTGGCAAAAATAGTGATATTATTTTGTATAAATACCCATATAATAAAATTCAGCATTGATTATAGTAATTAGCAACTGATTAAAAAAATATCTCAGATTCTTTCTTTTACCCAATTATGGTGGAAAAGATATATATTTTCAACAATTTTTACCCAATTATGGTGGCAAAGATATATTTTCTACAATTTTTAAAGTGCTCAAATCACAGTGATGGAGATAAATATCATAATTTTAAACCGCCTCCAGATGTGACTCTCAAACTCAAAAAATTTATCCTAAGACCATCTCTAGGTATGAGTCTCAAACTCAAAATCAAAGGTTTATAATCATTAATCCTATATTTAATTTGACCTCCCACAATAGTCTCAAAATAAGACCAATTTGGCAAAGGATTAAAAAACAGAGAGAGAGAGACCCAAAGGTCTAAAAATTATTTGCCAATTTGCAAAGGGGAGCCAACAACAAATGATGGTAATTGTTGCACATTAACTGCGCAGATAGATGCCAGCAGCATCGTGATGATGTCTCCTATGCCGGAGTGATCAGGTGCAACCAGTGCTGGATTCAAATTTCCTAATTTGAGAGTACAATAATTTGAAGATAATTTAACCTAGCAAATAACCAGATAATTAACTCAAATTGGACTACTAGTAATTAATTAAAACGAAAAAGGAAAAATAAAAGTAATATGCATAGATAACCTTGAATGGAGATGGGATACTACTACAGAGATCTAGTAATAGCCTAAAAATTAACATGAACAACTTTAATTTCCATTTTTAACGTTAAACTTGGCGTGTTAGCTTAAAAATTAGATTAGAATTACATGTCTTTAAACATATGATAGTAACAACTTTGTGTCCAATTAGGTGTAGCCTATTTTCTAATGTAGATTCACCATGGGTGATTGCACCGGGGGCTCGAAGATATGGTCCAAATTTGCTTGACCGTGAAGAGAAAACAACAAAATGTTTGCAGGCTAGGAGGAGCACACAGATTGCACCATACCCGATCTATTGATTGTAGCTTCAAGGCCTATAGGTTTGCATGTGGCACTAGATCACTTCCATATGGATGGAAATATGATGTGATACTATTGGCACACATCACCAAATTCACAATCAGTCTAACGTTGTGATCTATTTTGGTGTCCCAAATTAAATTAGACTAACATATACTTCTACGCGATTTTTTTGGCACTTGAAGCTGTAATTATAAGTTTGAAACCCACATCTAGGCCAGATGGTCTTCATAAAATATTTTCCAGCAATCAGGTGTACTTCATAAAACCATCTTTTAGTAATTTCCCAAGAACAAGAAAGTAGGCTGTCCTGTTCATATTAAGAATTGTGGAACATTCTTGGTCTGTTCAGCAGGTGTAGCCGACAAGCTAAGTAAAGCTTAAAAGCTACTAAGTTCTAGCTGCAAGCTTCTTGAATCAAACGCTATAGCATTTCAAAATTTTAGCGTTCTTTATGATGTAAGCTAACTATTTAAACACCAATATAAATAAATAAGAGATTTTTCAAGCAATGAGCTATTTCTAAGCCCTTACACCAAACACACTCACAGACTCACAATACAGTCAGAAAACTCAGATACTTGCACTAACAAGTTACAACTCTTAATTGTTATTTATGTCTAAAGCTAAACTTTAATTTCCTTGATTCTCTTTTTAGGTGCAGCACTACATGAACTCTTATTAGTTATTTATGTCAAAACCTAAACTTTAATTTCCTTGATTCTCTTTTTAGGTGCAGCACTACATGGTATCTCATTCTTCTGGATAAAGAGACAAACTTGAAAAAAAAAAATATCTCAAAAACTTTAAAGAGGCCCTATTTAAAGCCAACTTTGATGGTATATCATTTGGGGGAAGAAAGAATAGGACCAGATCTCACTAAAAGAAAGTGGATCAAAATCTCACCACAAATCCTTATCAGAAGTGAAAAATAGATATAATTAAGGGAAACTCGGTAACTCGTGCAATAAACACCAAGATCGTATCACCTTATTTATTATCATTATATCCCCAGATATGATTAAGAGTGAATATTAAACAAATAAATCAACTAGAACTTAAACAGAGCACGAATGACAAAAATAGCAAAAAGCAAGAACATAAGGAGACGTGTAGCTTACGTTGGCAGGATTCATGGAAGGCCCTGTATAACTAGCACCCGCAACGACTAGAGATACCGTTGACATAGCTAGCAACAAGTTCTTTATAATTGGGCTTCTAGGACCCCTGATGATGATAAGGAGGACCGCAAAGGTGATTGCAAAAGTCAAAACGCCCTCAGCAATTGCTCCGGTGTGCAAGTCAACCTTCAGGGAAGGACCTGCAAGCATGTGTTTGTACTGTATAGGCATAACCTCCAAAATCGCAAGTGCACCACACACTGCACCAGCTGCCTGTCCCACATATACTGAAGAATTCAGTTAGTTGAGGAAAAACAAAAAGTCAACACCTGGAGGTTTACAGAACAAGCATTTGGGCAATTGACCCTTGGCGAATACAACAACCAACTGCGAACTGTAAAACCCTAGTGATTAAATCGTCGCCGAACATAATGATCCCAATTAACGGTATATTATGAGTGAACGAAAAGAGGTAAGGGTGAAGGGATAGAAGAACAAGCAATGGAGAAGAGTTTAGGGCGACCTGAGCTGGGAAGCGGATGGCGGCAGAGAACAGAGAGTCAGGGCCACCGAAGCCGGCGGCGTAAAAGGCGGCAGTGGCGGTGGGGTTGAAGGTGGCCCCACCCAATAGATCTCCGATGAATCCAAATACGAACAGGAGGATGAAGACGAGGAGAGTGGTTATGACGAGGGTGGGTAGGCCCTGGGCCACACCGAGGGCGGAGGAGACCACGAGCGTAAGGGCACCGAGCGACGACGCACAGAAGATCCACATGAAGGTGAGGATGCCATCGGCTATGGCGGACTTGATTGGTCCCCTCATCGCCACAGAGGTTGCCGGTAAGCTTCGATGTTTTACTTTGGTTTGACACTGAAATTGTTGAGAGTTTGGTGGGATGGGGAAAGTACAATATATAATAATAAAGGTCTAAAAAGGCAGGAGGAAGGCGGGCGGGGTGTGTGAAATGACCAACCTACCAAGTCCAACTCACTTCCAATATTTTTCGTATGATTATGAAAAAGGTTTTTCAAGGGTGTTACTATTCTAGTAAAAACCGTTCTACTCTAGATAGGGGTGTTCACGGTCCGATTTAACAATAAAAAATTCGTCAATTCAGACCGTGAATTGGTTAAATGGTTAGTTAAAAAAGCCTTAAGAAATTCAATAATTAATTTTTTTAAAAATCTGGAATAATCGGTACGGTTAACAGATTACCTGCGGCAAACCGCCGGTTTAACCGGACCGGACCGGTAAATATTAAAAAATTATAACAAATATATATATATACATTCATTCATTCACTATGGCCAAAAAATACAATACATTCACTATGAATGTTTTGCTCTTATTATTTTAAGTGTATAAACTGACTGAAAAATGAATGCTTGTTTGGGTTCAGTTTGCATAATTTAACTTCATCGTTTTTGTATTTTTATGTTTATGGGACGAAATGTGTATTTTCATGCTTATGGGACGAATTGTGTATTTTTTATTTCATTATTGTTGTTTTTCTTGATTTTTAGGCTCAAATAATCTCTTTTGGGCCGAAAATCGAAAAATAAACTTTA